TGTTACTAGGCTGACAAAGTTTTCAAAAAATTACATGATTCACATTTAGATTAACCATTAGCTCCTGAAAACAGAATTCCAGCTAGATCTGAACAAAAAAATTATTAGAAGCTTTATATCAGAAAAATATTTTTCATCAGAAACATTTAAATTTTCCCCCTTCAAAATGGGAGTAAAATTAACCCCTTAACTGCTGCAAGTGTACATACATACCTCACTCGCCTGCTGGTGTGTTAACTGCCCATGGTGCATATTCACACCTTTCAGTAGTACGAACCTTTGCATTGTGCTGCTAATCTGTAAAATTGTTCTGAAGGCTTTGGAATGCAATACAATGACCTTGAAAGTGTGTTTGCAAATTATTTCCTTATTTCACTGAAGGATTTGCTTATGTCTTTTCCTTTCCTTAATATACTGCATAACTACATGAATCTGTTAGTAAAACAGGGGCACTGGGTAGCAAAGTGTGCAAGTTTTACTTCACAGTTAAAGAGGTTAGTAATTTAAACAAAAAGATTAGTTAACCTTTTCACAGAAACTATCACAAATACATGTCGCCATGTAACATTCGCAGTTCCTGAACGCTGCGTATGCGAGACAGAACTTTTTCCCTTCCAGGGCCGATCGCCACAAATCCTTCACACTAACTGGGAATATTTGATGAGCTAAATTTTCTTGGCAGTAGATGGCATTACATGACTATAAGATCTGAGAAACTTGTAGATCTGACCTTCTACTTGAAATGAGAGAAATATTAAGTCACATACTATAGGATTTTGATTCAGAAACATTAGGGGAATTGAATGTTTTATGACTGCTCTTGAAATGATCATGTAGTTTCTGTTTATAGCAAGGATGAGAGTTTTATTTTTGCTTGAGCATTTGGTTTGTGTTTGCAGTCTAGTTTTAAATGGATAATTAGATATGGTAGACAAACTTTTCTTTTACTTTTACAATGTCAAAGCATTGAAAATGTTTAACTGAACTTGGAATAGCAGAATAACGCAAAATTTATTCGGAATTAGACTATGAGAGCAGTGATAGCGACAAATAATATATTCTAATACTGAGAGTAAAATGTTTAAAAAATTGTACTTTAGCAGAAAATGACTTAAGTTAATATAGTGTATAAAGGCAAAATATATAAAGCATACGCTGTTCGTATAATGTACAGAACGCAATATTAAACAATGTGTTCATATTTTGGCATTTTAGTGGATAACAATGAACCCTCCAACTTGAGAGTGATTCTAATGAAAAAAACCTTTTGACCCAATGGGGGTACACACGTTTGCATTCTTCGTCCCTAAAGGGTTAAAATATATACAAAGTTAAATAATGAAATGCAGAAACAGAGTTTTAATTCTGTATAAGGGGAAATATTAGACAAAGAAATGCTGTATAATTGTATACCTACGTTGAAAGTTTGGTAGTAATTTTCTTAAACTGATTTACATTATTTTCGTATTGAAAAAAAGAAATGCAATGGTTATTGGAAAATGATTCCTGAAATAAAAGCATATAATAATTACTTTTTCAGGTATTAGAGGTAGAGATTTTTCAATGGTTTTTAACACTTGAAATGGTTATAGAATTTAATTCCTAGAATATCCTTCAAAGCCAATAATTTATTATACAGTAACAGTATTTGTTTAAAGCATAATTAATAATTTTATATATAAAGAAAATTACTTATTTCTTTATGTATTTTGTGCATTAAATTGTTTCTCTTTATTCTCAATTTATTTTTCTTCTAATCATATGATTTATATTTTGAATGTAATCAAATTAGAAAATGTATTTCTTTAGAGAAGTATTATCTGTTTATAGTTTTTATTGCTCACTGACATAGCTTCTTTAAAATGCTTTATTTTGAATAAAAACTAATAACATTTTGCTTTAATCTGCCACATCATTAATGGTTATAAACATTTAAGTTTTCAATGTATTTTGTAGCATGAAAAATAAAATTTTTTTACTAAAGCATTTTTAAAAATTTCTTTTAATATTATGTTTAAAAAAAATAGCAAAATTATAATTATTACTTTTAATTCAATAAAAGGAATTCATACCTCTTTAAATCAATAATTAATTTAGCAGGCAAATTTCAGTTATTATGGCAAGTTTTGAGACCCAATTTCAACATCTTTTGACTTCTCAGACAGAAAAACTGTCACATTTAAAATAATTCAAATACTAAAATATGCATTTTTAACATGCTAAAAACCCACCACAAATCCTAGGCACTTTCCAAAAACATTAAATTTTTTTTCAACTTATGATATCAAATTTAGAATAATTCTTCAATATAAAACCTCTATGGTCATATCAAAAATTAAAATATTTCTGCTGAACTGTATTTTAAAATAAGCTAATTTTTTTTAAAAACAATATATCACCCATAATGAGCTAGATTTAGCATAATGTTATGCATCTACTACTGAATAAGAAGTGAACTAATCTATTATAGAAGACCTGATATACAATATGTAATTGACTCCTAAGTATTTCAAAGTAAATCCTGGTATTCTGTAAATTCAAGCAAGGAGAAAAATAAAATAATTAAAGTAATGCTAGTTTACAATATTATAAACAGGCTGCATGCTATTTTTGAAGCATTTCTTAAAGACTTGGGAAGGAGAAAAATAAAAAAGATTATGGCATTTGTGAATTTACTCATCCCTTTACCTTTTGCAAATCAGTTAGAATTGCACTTTTTTCTGATGGTTCAATAAAAAGAATGAAGGGGGTAACTCGGAATGCTAATTAGGAATTTTAGTACCCCCCAATGTTGTTTTCTTACAAATAATTATCATTGGGAAAAAATGTGGTATAAAGTTCCAGTGAAAACTTTAGAAATAAAACATCAATTTAATCAAGAGATTAGAAAAATAAGTAAAAATAAAAAGAGCTATCACTCCTTTGTTTGGAATTGATGTGAGCTCTTGTTGTAGCAAGGTTAGGCAAATATTTAATAATTCAAAAATTTGTGTTGGATAGAGGAATCAGCATATGAGTAACAGCAATTCATGATGATCAAAATTTAAAGTGACTAAAATATGTCTGTTCATCCATTTTATTTTAAAGCAAAAGTTATAATATATAACGCCAAATCTACAAATCATAAAAACTAAATATTTTTTTGCATAGTGGGTAATGTCACGAAACTAAAAAAGAAAAGTACAGGTGATTTTTTCAAAATATTAACTGAGTGTTTACAAATATTTTAAAGGAGGCAGGCGATTTTATTTTCCTTGTTTCATGCTTGTTTCAATAACTGTTTTTGTTTGCCCTACAGATATAAAAGTGAGTGATGTAGACTTATAAAAAACAAACTGTGTAGATACCTTTTGCAGCTAAAGTAGAGCATAGGAGGTCCTTTGGTGAAGTTAATTTTTTGGCAACTGGAATTGGTTGTCAAGCAACTTAATTTAGCAATTAGTGTTCCAGGAATTTACAAAGTGGAATTTTGCAACGAAAATAAAGAAATATTAATGAGGAATAAAAAAAAATATTAATAAAAAAGATTGAGTATTAATAAAAAAATCGCTTGGTGACTGATTCAGGTCACCAAAAAATTTACTTTATCAAGGTGACCCCTATTCTACACTTTAACCAATTTTGTTATTGTTTTGACAAAACGGTTAAGTCAATGAAAGAAGCTTGCAAAGACAAGTATTTTGGCAAGTCTACAGTTTTTAGATGGCATAGTAATTTTAAAAGAAAAAGAACATTTGTCTGTAGCTCCTAAGCCTGGCCGACCAGAAAGTGTTATGAATGATTGAAATGTTAACAATGTGCGGCCACATCAATTACATATGTATACATCAGAAATAAAATTAATATAAGTATTCAAATCCAATTTTCAAAAAAACAAGAACATTTAATTTAAATTTATGAGATCTAATCTGACATTATGTATGCAAATTCTATCTAAAAATATCTCTTAAAATCATAAGCTAATATATATATATAGTGGAGTGAATATTAACGTCCCACTGTTCAGCTATTCGAGGGCTTTTGGGGACGGTCCGCGTAATTTTGAACCATGGTCAAGTGAAGCGGATGACACCTGAGCTGGCACCTCCTGTCCTAAATACCACACCACACCAATGGGAGGACGTTTGAGCTCACGACAAATTTAACGTGCATCACTCCCCTACACAGCGGGTTTTCAATGGTACTGGGATCGAACTCATGGCACGGTAGCCACAATCCGATGCCTAGACCACTTAGCTACCGCGACCACTATATATATTAGGACACAAACTAATATTCTTTCAAACAGAACAATACACACATTTTTCTTGAAACGCATACCTGTATGTTTTCATTTATGTCCATCAGTTTCATATAAAGACAGAATCAATGCGAGAAATCATTCAAAAGATGGGGTTCTTTTACCATTTCTTTTAATTTCCATCTTCCTAGAAAAACATATATCACAGTTTTAGAACAGTTATTAAATTTATATTAAATGATACAATAAAGAATAAAACTTAACTTTATGCATAAATGGGTTATTATATATCTTTGTAACCAATATTTAGCAATGAAATGTCAACTAAATAATTCAATATTTGCATTTAGAATTATGTATGCAACATATCATGGTAAGGCTTTAGTATAAAGATATTTAAGCAATTGCCTCTTACCATAGAATCTGGCATATAGCGTGCACATATATTTTCAAGCTACGCTTTTTAAGTTTTAGGTATATATTCGTTGTATAATGCCCTCCCGCTTTTTCAATACCTACTATTAGTTCACACTCTCCTATATATATTTATTCATTTATTTATATATCTTGTTCAAATTTTCAGTCATTAATAAAATACTTTCTATCCCTCCATTCAACTCCAAAAACATATTTTTAAACTTGTAGTGGATGACACTTGATGTTAATACATTTTTTCAAACATAAATTAAAAAATAAATTAATAGTAACAAACAAAAATAATAGTCCGACAGCATATTTAGAAAGGAAAGTCACTTGTTGTGTCCATGTAGCGCAATGGATAGTGCGTTGGACTTCTAATTCAAATATTGTGGGTTCAAATCCCACTTTGGATGGGTTAATTTCTAAGACTGTGTTTTCTTTACTATACTATTTAATTAGAATAATTAAATTTAATCTAAATAAATAAAAATGTAATGTGTGTTTGTTCAAAGCCGCTAATCTCCGAAACTACTGGAGCATTTCCTCTGAAAATTTGACATAATGTTGCACTTGAATCCGGATGGGTTCTTACGTACTTATTTCGTACTTCACTCTAAATTTTTTGAAATTTAATTTTTAAGTGATTTTTCGGTGTTATGACGTCATATGATGTCGCGTTTCTCTCTGAATGCGGGAATTTATACTTTACGGACAATTTTTTCGGAATTATTATATATATTTTTTATATTTATATATGATTAGCGATTGAAATATTTATCCTTTTTTTTGTCCTTTGATACTTAATTAGGATTATTTTTCAAATAAATCATTTTTTTAATGATTATTCTTTTAACAACTAAAATTTTGTTTTGTGGTTTTGGCAACACTCGGATAGTACTATCGCAGAATGTTTACAATTTTGCTTATATTTTATATCGCCTTTTTTCTGTAATATTAAGTTTAATTTATTTCTCTTTACTAAGCGAAAATGAAAATTATAATCGACTTCTGTACGCTACTTATTTTTCTGCCTAATTGTTGTTAAAATCTCTCATAGTTTTGACGATAACATAAGACTGGCCGACTGATCTGAACTAGCGAGTAGCGTTTTGATTGAAATTTTCCGCCTATTTATCTTTCTCCAGAAATCCTAAATTCAATCTATTCATTATATAATTTTTATGTTTAGTGTTATTTTTATGTTATGTTTTTATTTTTAGTTTCTTTTATACCATCGTTTTTTCCATCGACCATTCACCTCAAATTAAAAGACGTCTCCAAATGCTGTGATATGCATTCAATGTTTGGAAACGGTTCCGTACATTCTGATATAGTATGGTTTTTTCTCACTTGGCGACATTCTAATTTGGCGAAATTAATCGACGGATTTTTAACAAGAATATTTTTTCTCCATTTTTGACAATTTTTAAAATTTTTTTTGATGCTTACGTATTACTCCAACAATCGCCAACGTTCAATATACCCGCCAAGTTGGTAATTCCATTTTCACATGTGTGGTACGCGCTAAATTGGCAATCATGTGCTTCGTTTTATTCAATTTTGTCGATAGGTTGCGATAATACGTAAGTACATTTCATTTGATGTTACCATTGAAATACAATTGTAAAAATAAGATTTTCTGATACATCAAAACATTGAACCTTATTTTGTTTTTGATTGCTTTTTAAGATTTAAATTTGTTATAATTTTCTTAAAACAGATTCCATTAGTAATTTGTTAGCCGAATACTAGAAGTTATTACGGTTTGTTTTTGTCAGGGGCGTAGCTACAGCTTTATCAGTTGTATCAATAATGCAGGGACACCAAGCAACAGGAGCCCCAACAAATGTTACTACAGTCCCTCTAAAATGGTGCTCATATCTCAAAAAGGGCCCCAAAGGAATTTGGACACAAGGCCCATTCAGAGCTGTTTCGTAATTTCATACGTTTTTGCTTTTACATTCTTTTTAAGTGCGGTCAATTGGCTTCAGTACGTAAAATTGCATTTCAGAAAATCGAACTAAGGACATCACATTGGGCTGGCAAAGCAAGTTAAGGGTGCACATGAAAGCACATGAAATTCAAATAGGCATTAGTGAACGAGGACAATACAGACAGATGGCTCAAATACATGTTGAGGAAGCAGGTGGTTGTAAGATTGTAATTTTTTTCCCTTCAAATTATGCTTTCGCATTGATAAAATTATTCAGTTCTGTTTATGTCAATTAATGTTAGTATTGTATTTCATTTCTCAATTTGTTTTTAAGCTTAGGATATATACAATTACAACTGTATATTCCATTATATATATACAATTTGTGCATATTTCATGTGCAAAATACTAATTTTAATTCTGTACGCTAATGGATCTGTTTGGCATGATTTCAAAATATCTCCACAAACAAGTAGCGTATCAATTGAAATCTTCCAAGTATTTTATCTTTTTCCAGTGATTCTAAATTAAATAAATAGATAATTTTTATTTTTTGGTACTTACATTTTTTTTTTTTTGACATCATTTACATAAAATCATAAAACATTGCCAAATGCTGCAATATGCATTCAAAAAGGGAAAATTATTATATGACTGTTTTTGCACAGTAAAATTTTTGCACTCGGCTGTGAATTTTTCCACTAAATTGTTGAAATTTCTAAAAGTTGGGGCAATAACATTAGATTCGCAAAGGATCTATTTTGTGAGATTTCAAAATTTTATTTGATGTTACTGTGAAATACAAATGGGAAAATTTAGATTATCTGATGTATATTTTATGTTTGTTTTGGTATTTACATATTATATTGCAACTGTATTGGCAACATTATATAAAAGAAAGCACATGGTTGTCAATTCACCGTGTGCGACACATAGAAAATTGGGGTTGACATAGTTCCAATAGTACCTTTGTTTTGAACTATTTTTGGTGATTTTATCAAAATATTGAACTTTAATTTGTTTTTGATAGATTTTTAACATTTAAGTTACTTATAGGTAGCTGTACTCAGTCGCGCATTCCTGTGGCTCAGTCTGGTTAAAAAGAAAGAAAAGAGAAAGCCCTCATTTCTAATATTTTTGACCGCCTGCACTTGAGGTATGACTTTTTTTTATAAAAAAATATGTGTGAATATACATAAACAAAACTTTTCTAAACAGATTTAATTTGCAATTTGTTAACCGAATACTCCAAGTTATGTTTTTTTGTCCTTATGTTTTGAATCTAAAATTATTTACATTGTGGGGAGGTGCCAAGTTTGAAAATAAATTTAAAATGGCTCTTCTTGAGGTCTAAGGGTTAATTTTACAATGCTTATGGGTAGACATTTTGTGTTGCTTCATTGTCTGTGAAGATACAAAAATTGTCTGGTGTGCCTACTCTAGAACAGCAGTTGCCAACCTTCAGCACTCCATGAACCACTCAATGATAACTTTATAAATATGGCAGACAATTAAAGCTATATTTACGTCTATTTACGTTTCCATACACCTGAAAATAAATTTCATGAAAAGCAATAACAATCCGACAATCAACAGACTGAAGTGTTTTGCCACCAATTTACTGTGGTTATCTAAGTTGACTTTCAAATTTCGTTGGAAAATCTGAAAAAATTGCTAAACTCAGGAAATTTGCTACAAGGGGTAACTAAAAGTTTTTATTAAAGTATAATCCATAATGTTTTTTATTGCTCATCTTTTTTAAAACTGAATCTTCACAAAGAGGTAAATATCTCAATTTTTCAGTGGACCATCAAAAATTTCTCACCAATTGGTGACTGCTGCTCTGGAACACACAACGGTACTTATATATTAGCATCATTGTAACAAAATTGGTGTCATGCGTATTGCACCTTAATATCTAAACAAAGATTCTAAAGTTTTTTATGAAAAAAAATAAAATTAGGATGGAAAAGGGTGTGATTTGCATGGTGGCAATTTGGCTGTACAGTGATGCTAATATTTAAGTACCCTGACAACAAATAATTGTCCATGTGTGAAGCAGTCAGTATTGTATTTCCTTAGTTATTATATTCCATGGTCAGGTAGACTATTATAATTCCAATGCATCATTCATTCTCTATTCAATGATTCAGTTCATCTTTTGGCATTTTGTTTATTTTGCAGACAACGTGGAAGATAAGTACACAGCACAAAGAACATTACATGACTCTGACTCTAAAAGCCAAACGCGTAAACATCTCTCGCATGGCTTGCAGCGCCATTTATATAATTAATATTTAATTTACAACAGTCAGTGTTTAGATATAAGCCACTCTGTTTTTAAGATAGGCCCTTAAATTTGTTGATAACAATTGCTAATGCTAATTGAACAGTAAATTGCAAAAATCTTCCATCATTATCAATATTTTGTTGTAGATTTCTACTGCGAAATCCGTGTTTATATTTGAATTTTTCTTGCGTATTCGAATAAAAATATCTTCAACCTCTCTTTGCGTTGAAATTGAGCTATGTTAATTGATGCACAATAGAAGTATTTCTTTAGCATTTCATTTTTTTATTTTTTCCTTTTCTTTTTGTTCTTGATTTTTCCTTTTTTTTAATGTTTTGAAATTTTATAGGTTTTAAAACTTTTTTCTTTTTGTGCAGTCAGTTAGCTTCACTACATATAAAAATGCCTTTCAGGAAATCAAACTTAGGTGATCATACTCACAAAAGGGAAAAGTAGTGCAACGAGTGTAATTGCATATCAAATTGAGGAGGAACAGGCATCAGCAAACGAGGAAAGTAGACAAAGAATGGCACAAGCACATGCTGAGGGCGCAGCAGAGTTACAGGCAGCTAAACTTGAGGATGCATATTTGCGAGCCCAGCATTCATGTTTTGCAACATCAGATCTGCTCTGTTCTCAACAAAAGGAACACAGTAGGTTGCTAGTGGCTGAAAGATGTCAACCAGAAACAGCACATCAGCGTCAAACATGATTTTGGAGTGAGCAAACACACAAAAACAGTCACCTTGCATTCCGGTACAACCCAGTGGAAGATTATAGGTTGAGCCAGCATATTCTCATCAGCACAATGACTGAAGTGTATCTTTTTTGCAATTCTCTGAAATTTAAGGGAGAAACAAAAGGAATGTTTTGTACCGCTGGAAAAGGTAAACTGTCTCACCTTGGTGAATCACCAGTGCCATTAAAAACTTTGCTCGCCAGATATACTGCGGAATCAAAACATTCCCTATATAACATCAAGAAATACAATTCATGTTTCCAAATGATATTTGTTTGGAGAAATGTGCATTTTTGAACACATCTCTGATTTAACAGAAAAATCCATAAGCATTGTAAAACTAACCCATTGCCCTCGAGGAATCCAGAGTAGAGCCATTTAAAATTTATCTTCAAATTTGAGGTCTCCACTATAAATACAATATCAAATTTAAGTTCATAACATGAAGACA